TCTGACCGGGCGAAGAAGAACTTTGCCGATTTCCCTGTTTTTCACTCATTCCCTCAATATCTATCGTTGATGGTTCCCTTACGGGAAGGCCTTCCAACTGTTTTCCACTCCTTAAAATTACAGCATTCATGTGCCCCTTTTGTGGTTGCTCTGTTTGGCCAGGAAACGTACCCGGTGTTTTTGAAGATTGGCCGACTTGATGAGCAAGTTGGCTTATTTGATTTTCCATGAGCTTATTCTGGGCTTGTAACTGTTGGATGGAATTATTTGTGGTGTTGATGAAGTTCTCCATCATTAGTTCGAGATTGGATTTTTGAGGGGGTGGTTGCATGGGTTGCATGGGTTGTTGTACTAGGGGTGGTCTTGGTTGAAAACCAGGTGGATTATAATTGTTGTTTCGAGGTGGGGGCGGAGGTGGATTTTGCTGAGCTTGGGTGTTTTTGTATGAGAAGTTTGGGTGATTCTTCCAACCTTCATTATAAGTATTAGAATGGGGATCGTATGGTCTTTTAGGGTTGGAATTGTAGAAGGCATTGGCTTCCTCAATTGATACCTCATTCGAATTTCGTGGGCAATTAGGTGCGATGTGACCTTGAGTATTACACATTTGACAAGTTTCTAGCACATTATTGGAAGATCCAGTTTGTAGTCTATCGAACTTGCTTGAAAGTGCCTGCATAGAACTAGTTAAAAGAGTTAGAGCATCAACATCTAATTTACCTCCTTTCTTGACATTATTTCGGCCGCCTGGGTGATAGTTGTCATTGGCTGACATCTTCTCAACCAGCTCCTTTGCTTCGGTTGGATTTTTAGTTAGAAAGGAGCCTCCAGATGCGGCGTCGATATAGATCCGGAACTCATGGGTTAGACCATTATAGAATGTTTGGATTAACATCCATTCAGGTATGCCATGATGGGGGCACTGTCTCTGTAACCTCTTGAATCTCCTCCATGCGTCATATAAGGATTCTTCATCTGATTGCCTGAAAGTGGATAGCTCGTTCCTTAATCTTGCAGTCTTTTCTTGTCCCAAGAACTTGACCAGAAAAGCTTTTACTAGTTTATCCCATGTATCAAAGGAACCAGAACCCTCATCTCTTAACCATTCCTTCGCCCTATCCCGTAATGAGAATGGAAAAAGGCGAAGTCTAAGAGCATCATCTGTAACACCATTCAGCTTCATAGTGTCACACTTTTCCAAGAAACCATCTATATGATTCACTGGGCAATCAAGAGGTGTGCCAGCAAATGAATCATTGGATATGAATTGAATAAATTGCGGTTTCAATTCAAAATTCTGAGCGGTGATAGGTGGTCTAATAATGCTAGAAAGGAGTCCGGTTGTTGTGTCAGGGATACCGTACTCCAAAAGAGACTTTGTTGCTTGGTCTTCCATATTTCTGTTACCTGCTCTTCTTCTACCTCTTCGTCTTCTTGCAGTCGCTTCAATTTCTGAATCGAGAGGCACTAAGTCGTCTGACCCTGAGTGACGTGTTTGCATACAACAAAGAACTAGGCAAAGAACATCAAAAACACAGGAGACAATAGCCGAAGCAACAAACAACGCTTAGTATAAACGAATCACGAAAAATCAATATGAAACCGTTAGTCCCCGGCAACGGCGCCAAAATTTGATAGGCTTATCGCGTACCTAACAAAAATAACCTAACTATTCCTTCTAACTGTGTAGTAGGGCAAGTAAGGATCGAATCCCAAGAGACTATGGTTCATTCAATTAATCAGACTCAATTAATCACTAAGCACGTGACCAATCAATAATGGATGATAATAATCAACTAATTTATTAAATAACACAATTAACTAGAGGAAATATTAATCAACAAACTAAAGCATCCAAGATCAAGCATCACCACGATTATGATTGATAAACTAATAAATCTACCCCCAATATATAAATCAATTGACAAGAAGAAAAGCAATCCCTAATAATAATACCAAAGGTCTCTTCCGAGTTATCAATGGCTTCCCAAATTAACTATCAAGCCTACTTCCGTGGAATCAAGCGAATAAGGGACATTAAACACCATGCCTAGATTCCTAATTATTCAATCATCTACTTCCGTGATGATCTTCAAACCCTTAATTGAAATAACCTAATCCCGTTAATACCCAACTTCCGTTGCAATAAGAACAAAGGGATGATAACAATACTAATTATCCCTAATCTAGTATTGGCATAAACACAATCAATTAAGCATGTCAATTGGGATTATTATTGGGGAATTTAAAGATCTACTTTATACATCAATCATAATCGGGCTTAGCAAGATCCCGGATTAAGGAAACTACTCACAAATCATAATTAAATCAAAAACAAGATCTAATAGAGAACACATAATTAAAGAACTATAAAATAAATAAAAGAGATGGAAAGTAAGAAATACCAAATACTTCAATTGATGATCTTGAATTCTTGAGGAACAATTAATAAAACTAGGATTAAAGATTGAAATTGCTTAAGAAAATAAAACTAGGGTTCTTGAGAGTTTTCTAGGGCTTAAGGAGAAAACTAATGAAAAACTAACTGTCTAAAAGTTAATTACAAAAGGGTATTTATACCCCCAAAAGATAATATTTCGGAAAAAAATAAGAAAATACGCGTTCTTGAGCTTTGCCCGGTCTGACCGGGCGGACCTCGCCCGATCGGGCGGAGGAAGGCTGCGTAAAATACGACAGTTTTCCTTCTTTGCCCGGTCTGACCGGGCGAACCTCGCCCGGTCGGGCGCGCGTAACACGTTTCCAAAATTGCATCTCATAACTTGATTTCTTCATCGCCCGGTCTGACCGGGCGAAGCCTGCCCGATCGGGCGCGCGTTGCACCGTTCAGAATTGGGCTTCTTCCTGTGAACTCCTCATTGCCCGGTCTGCCCGGGCAAGCCATGCCCGGTCGGGCATTCCACATAAATTGCAGTTCTTGGCTATCAACTCTTCCGAATCTACTAAAAACACGTCCAATTGCCTAGAAACGCTTCATATTCCTGAAAAGCTTACTAAAACAATCGAATACACTAAAGAAGAGATTGTTAGCAAGAAATAGCTCCGTAGAGCTCAAAACCATGTAAAATCATGCAATCAAACCGGGGAAAACCATTGTATAAAACACGTATATCAGGGGTAACTCGTCAATAATACTTGAAACAACAAATAATTCATTCATGGCTATCCCATGTTGTTCTAAACTACCATAAATACGTTGCAATTCATGAAATTGGTCCATTATGGACCGACCATCAACAATTTTAAAATTATTTAAATTGCTAAATAAAAATTTCTTACTTGAAGCGTCTTCCGCCATATACTTGCTCTCCAAGGACTCCCAAAGCTCCTTGGCTGATTCTACATTTTGGTAGACATCAAAAAGATCATCCTCCATCCCATTCAATATGTGACCACGACATATGAAATCGTCGTTGTCCCACTTCGATCTCTCCCAACAGATTCCAAGGTTTCATTCTCATGTTCATCCTGGCAGTGCGGGCGCGCCACTTGTCGGCGCGGGCGCTCCTCCCAAAATTCCTGCGAAATGAACTTGAAGTCAGTGAGGGGCGCGGTCTTAGCGAGGTCTGCAGCGCGGGCGCGCCACCAACAGCGTGGGCGCGCCACCCCACTTTCATCCAACATGTTGATTACTAGAGAGGTGCGCGGATTAGGCGTGCTCTCATCGCGGTCGCGCCTACCTGGCGCGGCCGCGCTTAACATGGGCACGAGCGCGCACCATACAACACTCTAAATCATCAACAAAAAAGAGTATTATATTAGTGTATTACTGTCAGTGACGGCTTCAGTATGGGTTCAGTGGGTTCTGCTGAACCCATACTGAATTTGAAAAAATTCTTATCAGTTCACCTAAAAACAAAAACTAGTTATATACATCATTATATTATACGCATAATTATAGTGTTATCTCCTGCAGCCAAGTGGTGGGTGCTTTGTACTTTTTAACAGTGGTCGCGGGATCGAAACCCCCAACACCGTTTTATTTCCCTTTTTATTTGCTCTTACTAATTTGATAGTTGATACAAATTCCTGGAAACGCTACTGATTACTGTATATTAAATTTTAAATTATAACAATTTGTATATTATTACTATTGAAACAATCTCCTTCTATTTAGAGGTAGTGTATGTTAAAAAAATAAAAAAATGTATGTAAAGGGACCTTATTGAACTATATGTATTAGTCTATAAGTAAAGAAAGGCAAAGAAGAGGTAATTCATCATTAGAACATGGAAAATGAATTTTACTTCCCTTGACATGAAAGAAAGAGAAAAGAAATTGATTATGACAGGAAATAATAGAACCTATCTCTTTCAGAATGTTTAGACAGGAAAATGAGAGTATCTTTAGCTGTAGGAAATTCTGTCCAATTCATCTATGCATAAATTTGAGAGAGGCTATTGTTTAAGTGATCTCGATGCTTTTCTTTTTAGATTGTTGTCACATCATTGTAGAATGATGATTGATATTGTAAGGTGCTTGTATTTCTTTGCAAACAGGAATTTCTTAAAATTACAAGTTAGCATTTTTTATGGTAGAATGGCTTGAAAACAAGACAACACTTAAAATACTAGAGTGATGCAAAATTGCAAAGCATCTAAATCCGAAACAAAATCTTATACTCCGTAGTAGACTTAAAAGAATTCAATTAATCATGTTTAATTTTGAGGGTAGAAATGATTCATCCTTTGAACTAAAATAAGTAATTCAAAACATCTACATAAGTAACATAGCCAACAACTTAAGTTGATAAAACATGAATTTGAGGTCATCAATTAAGGGTTTTATACTTTAAATTCCTTAACTAAACAAATTATTATCAATCTAACCAAGAACTTGATTCGAAAAATCACGTTATATGAATCATATCACGACACACAAGATAGAAGATTAGTAACAAATAAAATAAATGCAGATAAAGCATAATGCAAGCAAAATCATCTTTTTTTTTTTTTTTTTTTTTTTTTTTTTTTTTTTACAAGATTCATATAACTAAAACAGCAATACAATGCAACAAAACACACAAGACAAAACCTTCTACTTAGCTTAAAAAAACTATACTACAAAACTCAAAACACTAATAATGTCTGGGAGACATCTATTTATACAAGTGTATTCAATATTACTATGGGCAAGAAAATCAATAAATGAACTCAAATTGACATAAAATGTCTACATAGAAGAAACATCTTAAATTAGTTAATGAATTAATGACAAAAACATTGTTTGTTTGATTCTGAGTTCTATAATACATATTGGCCCAACCGTTGGAAATAATGTCTCCTATTCATTGATCCAGTAAACAACTATAGTAGAACCTAGAAAGTATTTATATATAGTTAGAATTTAAGGAGATTGTATTATATAATTCGTGTATTAGTTACAAAAAAATATACGTAGTGGCCAAACCTTTGCATGATCAACAAATTTTCATAATTCATTAGAAAAAAAATCTACAAATTAGTCGAAAATAAATAATAATAATTATAAAAGTAACACCCCAAATTAAAGTCACTCCTCACTACATGCAATTGTGCAAAATACAATTCCATGAAAATTAAAAGGCTCAAAGAAAAAAAAAAATGGAGAGTGACTATTTCTTAGTTCTACAGATTGCACAAGTTTTTGATCATTCATTTTTGTACACAAAATTTGTACCTCAGCTTGGGAGCTCACCATCACTTCCACCACCTTCGACACTTACCTTTGACTATCAATATCCGGCTAAATACCTTAGAAACTCAAAAACACGATTAACCTAAAACTGTGACCTCCATCCAAATACATCATTCCCACCTTGTCCATCTCCACCACCACCCCCGCCACCGAAACTCGAGAAGTTCCCTCCTCCTTCTAGGGGTCCCACACTCCCCGTAACACCCGACGACTGCGAAGCCGTCGGCTGCTGCTGATGGTGCACTTGTTGCAGCGGTGGCTGCAATTGCGCCACCGGATTACTATTACTATTATTAGTAGTAGTATTAGTATTATTTCCGATTTCTCTTTCCTCCCCTTCTTCCAATGGTAACCTATCAAAAACAGCATTAGCAAAAGAAGCCGCCATTAAAACAACCGGCCCGGAAGCCATTAACGGGCCCACCACACTTCCGCCCACCACCTGCCCCTGCCCGCCCGCCAAAAATATGGTCAGCCCGCCTGCCCCGGTGGGGCAGGCGGTGGTAAAGCGGTCCCGGTAATCGAAAGAATCTCGAACCTTCCATGTAATGTCATCACACTTCCCGCCGGCGCCGCTGGTTGCCGGAGATTGACATTGGTGACAGCTCCGGTGCCGGAAAACACGCAAACTCCTCTTCCTCTTCGGGTTGCGAAATGGGTCACGGATTCTACCACATCCGAACCCGGAGAAACTTCTAGAACGTGGGATCTTAGAGCATTTGGGCTGTCTCGGGTTATGATAATGGGTGGTTTGGGCTTGTTTTTTGAGCCCGCGGGCCGGCCTCTGGGCCGTCTTCCGCCGCCACTATTACTGTTTCCTCCGCCGGAGCTGGTGGATGCGGGTTCGGGTTCGGATTTTGTGGTGTCTACTTGGAGCTCCAGCATTTTTAAGCCCAGATTTGAGAAAAGTGGGCTGTCTACCAAGTGTTTGATGAAATGTCTGAATGAAAAAAGTTGGTGTAAGAAACAGGAAATTATGGGGGTTTATGAATTGAGGAAAAGGGTGTTTGAATTGAAATTTTTTTGGGAGAAATTCAAAGAAGATGAAGTTCAATAAAGAGGAGAGAGAAAGTTGAAGGAGGTTCAATGGGGTGTTAAATATACAGAAAAGAAAAATGCTTTCTTGACTGAGAAGGTATGGCGGTATGAAACTTTTCGTGCTTTTGAGGAGGTGAAAATGGAGGATATAATATTTTATTATTAAAGGGGATTAATTGGCTTTGCTTCAAGTTTTCATAATGGAACCTCACTTTAATATATTATTATTTAATTATTTATATTATTATTAAGGAGTATTATATTATGTGACACTATAATTAGTACTTTTGTTAAACTAGAATATGACATTTTAAAGGCTTAAACAAATGTTACACTTGTTACTAATTTGCTACTCGTGTTGGTGACGTTGTATTAGTAAATGTTTTATTTGTTGTTTTTTTAGTTGTGTACTTGTGTGATGGAGAATATGAGCTATTATTTTGTTGTGAAATCCTTAATTGTAATGCAAGAATTAATGGTTCACTATTATTAAATGTTCACCCTATATACAAAGCTTAAAAAATAAAGACCACTACGTACTTCTACAGTTCCACTGCCTCAATTGATTTTATTTTTGTTTTTTAACATTATGGATAACTTGAAGCATCCTAATGGATGATAAGGGAGAGAAAACAATAATCCATCAGCAAGAAAAAGTAAGCGAAGATCCACATGTGCTTGAAATCATTTTGAAACTAATCCTGAAATCCGCTACTTGGTTCACCTCTATCAATTAATCTCCATGAGTAAATCCTGAAACACTCTTCTATCAAAGTATTGTTTCATTTTTTTGAACACATTTTGTAGTTTTATTTTTTCACTTTGAAATAAGCTAAGCAATGATATAAATGATGATCAGATCACATACTCCGCCGGCACCGCCGTATGAAATGAATAGTCTAAATAAAATAGTTTTAGTTATGATAACGGCCTAGAGCTAACCTAATTCAAGATTAGTAGCGTATCATTGGGTGGCTTCCAAATTGGGATAATACATGTAATTAAGAAGAATGAATGTTGATAGTCAACATTTCAACAATAACAACTTGATTGGACTGTTTTCAAACTACAAATAAAAATAGCTGCTTGAAAACCCTTTTGTGTAGTCAAACCTCATAAAACAATATGAACAATAATGTTATGGAGTACGTATTCATCTAATCAACTTATATTATTGATTGAACATTAATAGAAATTCTTATGAAATAATTTGCTGAATTCTATCACAAGTATTAATTACGGAATTTTTACCATATACCACTAAGTTTTAACTTAATTCATCATATGCTACCAAAAACTTTCTAATTTACCATTTACCATTGAGTTCCTGTGCAATACCACAAAATACCTTTTTTGGTAACTACCGTTAGTCTACCGTTTGGAGTATTTTACTAATTCACCATATACCCATATTTATAAAGTTATTTCACCATATACCATTAGATTAAAAGATATTTCACCATATACCTAGAAATTGCAACGACTATTTTAATTGTTGCGTTTACTATCTTTTGCTGCTTCACTATTCTTCTCTTGAGCTCCTTCAACTCTTGCTTCAACATGCTCTCGTCTCCATGACATTATAACCCGAAAGGACATTTTTCTCGGCATTACCCTTGCACCATCTAAATTCCTCACATACATCACCCTTATAGTACAACTTTTGTGGAATTTTTGCCGAATCACAGCTCCTTATTGCAAATTTCTTCCCACATGTACAAGCTCGTATGTATGCATATTCATAAGAAGATGATGATTTCTAACATCTTTGCAAATGCTTTTAGAACGGTAAATTGCTACTTCAATTTCTTAAGTATTATGTTTATATATATAAATTATTTGTAACAACTGTCAACGGCTAATTTTTTTTAAAAAAAATTAAGCTGTTGCAATTTCTGGGCATACGGTGAAATATCTTTTATTTTAATGGTATATGGTGAAATAACCTTATAAACATGGGTACATGGTGAATTAGTAAAATATTCCAAACGGCAGACTAACGACAGTTATCAAAAAAGATATTTTGTGGTATTGCATAGGAACTCAGTGGTACATGATGAATTAGAAAATTTTTAGTGATATATTATAAATTAAATTAAAACTCAGTGATATATGGTGAAAAAGTCGTATTAATGAATCCATCTACCTAAGCGGGTGGCTGCGCAACAAAACAAGCAAAATTCACAAGAGACAAAAGGTTGGCGTTCAAAACTTGATGATTGTTTTTTTGCATTTTGATATTTATCCATAAAATTTTTGTTTTTCCTGAAACCAGATTTTATCCATATGTAAATATGCAATTGCCAGGTAGCATCAAAAAGGTCAACTTGATATATGCATGTAATTGTATTACAAGAAAATCTAGGCACCTCTTGCTAAATACAAGTATACAACAACAATTTAAGATACTGATCCGTTTAAAGATGGTAATGATTTTATTTATTTATTCTAATAAGTTAGGGTATAGTGTTAAGAGAAAACTATTCTAACTTCTTATTTACCTTTTCTTTAAAAAGAAAAATAATATAACAATCTTCTTACATACTGTTGGATAATATTCCTCCTTATTATTAGAATTTGCTAAAAATAAATAAAGGAGAATTTACAAGAAAGAAGAGAAAAAGAAGGAGAGTAGTAGCAAAATAAGAAATAATCAATGACAAATTATATAACGATAATTTGCATCATTAGTTATTAGATATAGGCTGATTATAAATATGTAATCAGATTATTTGTTAATTGAAAATTGAGATTGAATTTGTATCACATTATTTTTGATAAACAGAAGTACAATCACTACTAGAAAACAGCTTGATTCCGACGGACAAAATCCGTCGGAATCATCGGAAATTCCGTCGGAAACTAGCCTTTCGACGGAATTCCGTCGGAATCCGTCTGTCGTAAAAACCTTCGTCGGAAATTCGACCGTCGGAAGGCTAGTTTCCAACGGAATTTTCGACGAATTTATTTCTATCGGCGCTGTTTTTGACTTTAATCGAGAGTCCATCGCAATTTTCCGACGGAAAAGATTCTGTCGGAATATATACCTCTTTCGACGGAAAATTTCCGTCGAATATACCTCTTCCGACGGAATTTTTCGTCGAAATCTACTTCCATCTGACGGAAAATTCCGTCGAAAAAGTTAATAAAAAAAAATTATAAAAAAGGCCCACCCACCATCCCCACCACCAGCCCACCCCCTGCCCCCCTACCCACCCATACCCCCCTGCCCACCCACACCACCCACCTTAAACCCACCAGTCCCCCTAACCCGAAACCCTTACCCCTAACCCGAACCCACCCACCAAACCACCAGTCCAACAACCCATTTTCCAACCAAACCACCTGCTCCGTATCCCCTCCCCACCACCCTAACCCGTATTCCACCCAAAACCCACCTCCTAACCCTAACCTAACCAAACCCACCACCTTAACACACCCCACTACCTTACCCTAACCCTCCTAAACAAAACCCCAGATCTAAAACCACCCACCACGGCCCACCCGATCCACCCACCACGATTAAAAAACAAAAAAACGCAATTAAAGACGCGAAAAACATCCACAGCAACCACGGTACCAGCCACCACATCCACACCCACCACAGCAACCACCGAAAATATATAGAAAAAACACACAAAAAAAAAACAAATTAAAGACTCAAAAAACTTACCTTAATAACCGAAATTGGCTTGGAATTCTTGAATTTGGTTTAAATAGGCCAAATTTGACCATGAAAAGTCTAGATCTAGACTTTTCATGGTCGAATTTGACCAAAATAACCATTAATTTCTATAACTTTGAAACGTATAACACCGTCGTCACACTGCGCCGTCACACCACCCGCCGGAAAAAAAAATCAAGAAAGAGAATAAATGAGGAAATAGAAGAAAGAAGGGGCGTAGAGGAAGAGGAGAAACAGAAGGGCGTAGAGGAAGAGAAGGAGAAGGAGAGGGGAAGAGAAGGAGGAGGAGAGAGAAGAAAGAAGGGGCGTAGAGGAAGAGAAGGAGAACTGGAGAAGGAGAGAGAGAGAAAGAGAAATCAGAGAGGAGGAGGAGAGAGAACGATAAATTAGAAAGGATGAAAAGAAGGGGGAAGGGCGTTGGTTTTAGGGTTTGACTGGTAAAGGTGGTTAAAGGGGTTATGCTCTAATTCTTGCGACGGAATTAAATTCCGTCAGAACTAAATGCTTCCGACGGAATATTTCGTCGGAACTAAATGCTTCCGGCGGAATATTTCGTCGGAAGATATTTTCTGACGGAATATTTCGTTGGAAGCTTTTAGTTTCGAGGGAATTTAATTCCGTCGCAAGAATTCCGAGGGATTTTCCGTCGTAACTTATCTTTTCCGACGGAACTTTCTGACTGATCCTAATTCCGTCGGAAAATTCGAATTTTTCGACGGAATTTAGGTCCGTCAGAAAAACGGCCTATTTCTAGTAGTGAATTTAAATTTGAGAGTATACCATCGAATATTAGTTTATAGTTTATAAACGTTTTGTGAGTTAATCTATTATGTTATATAGATATAATTGTTACCTATTTTGTTTATACACAAAGGGAAAGTAAATATTATTCTCGCTGCAAGATTATTTGTGATCTTTCCCAACACATACAAATCTAGCTAGAGTACAATAATCACGACGTACGAAGTATAAATTATCTAAATTTATGTGAGCTTTATTTCCTGTACTATTATAAGTATAAATAAAATAAGTTAAAATAAGGTAAATAAATTGAGGTCTTGAAATTAATGTTTTTTAATAATAATAATAATAATAATAATAATAATAATAATAAATAATAATAATCCAAGGAATAAAATCATAACTTAGAAGCATTAATGTACTATTAGATGAATTCTACATTAATATTTCCATTCCTTAATGATATTGTATACTTCGTATGAGCATTAATTCTCATCTTTCACTTTCAATTCACTTAAAATTCACGTTTTAATTTATTAACTATATTTACTACGAATATAATTTTTTATTCACTTTAATGGACTAAATCCCAATACCAGAGTACATTATTCATCTATATTTATTAATCAATCAAACCTCATTTTGGAATTTGGATAGCAGCTCTTGGCAAAGACAATAGTTGTGGTTTGTGTCATAAGGTCCACCATGGGGAGGTGGCAACTAGGGTTTTTGTTAAATTGGCTTGCCTACAGGGAACAAGATGTCCAATCAAAATCCAAAAAAAGTTGAAGTATCCTAGGAAAACGAAGAAATTGATAGTTAATAATCAAAATAGTTTGATATGAATTTAAAATAAGTACAATAATTATTGAAAACAAAGATGTTAAAGTAAGAAATTAAAAAATTAAAAAGGCTTTATTTAAAACATATACTTTCTCCTCCTTTTATTATGATATTTGGGCATTTTTTCATAAAAAAAAAAATATCGAGTATTTTGCATTTGTTAATATACATGTAATTTTATTTTTTTTTCCTAACATAAATAAGTCAAAAGAAATCGATAATTAAAAAAATATGTATAAATTTGTTAGACTATTTCAAGTTAAAAGAGAACGAAAGAAATATGAATAAAAAATGAAGCAAAATTGACGGTATAGATTGTAG